ATAAGTGCCCATTTAGCTTAAGTCCTGGAAAAAATAATAAGCAAAACCAAAACTTTGAGATTCTCTGGATAGCTGAGAGGGATGCCATGCTATGACCAGGTATCAAGTGTATTCATGCTGCTGGTACTGGAGATCTAATGACCATCCAACAGTAAGAGGTTCGTCCTCCCACTTCGAACACACCATTCCCATAGCAAGCATATCTACAAAGAATTAATCAAGAAATAAAAATAGTCACAAGAGAGCCATTTTCACATTAACAATGACACCAAAAAAAAAAAAAAAGAGACAAAAATCACACCAAAACCAACCATACAAAATACTATGCACTGAATTAACAAAATCCCTCTTCCAAGAAGAGACCCGAGCACATGGGCAACCTCAAGTGAGCAGGTCGAGTTATTTTCTGCAACCAGTGCAGTCTTTTATCCAAGGATACAAGAATTCTTCAAAAGCATTTCAAAGATTGCAAAATCAGTAGAAAAGAAGTTCATTTTTTGATAAAACATTGACTTTTCAAAAATATTCCACCCAACTTTAGTTACAAAGGGAGCAGTAAGTTAATGTTTTCAATGCTTCAGTTGTTGCAGCCTTTTCTGTATCAGAAAAAAAAGTGAAAAATCTTTTTTCAGTCAAACTGGAACAATTTTCCTTAAGTCCCCTGCAGGATATATGACAGCTTTGCAATCAGTGATGGTGACATGCAGAAAATCATTCTATTAACACTCCTCTAAGCATAAAATTTACTCTTTGCTCACTCTTTCTGCTGAGCCCACCCACAAACATCCAAAATACTTATTTTTAAAATGAATCCACGGCCAAACCAAGGCCTCCTAGAATCAGAATCCCCCATTTCAGGCCCCATTTCAGGAGCACTAGGAACCCACAAGTTCCTTTCTCAAAAAAAGCCTTAAAACATGTGAAAGTAACATAAATGCATGAGTAGAACAAAATAAATACAGAAATTTTGTCACAAGTCTAAAGAAAAAAGAAACTGATTTGGGGACCTGATTTAACACATGCATCCTCCACTGTCACAAGTCACCCTGTACAGCTTTGAGGTCATTTCCTACCCTTACAAACAGCCATACTACTGCAGCACCAAGCACAGACCACATCTTAATTCAATTTATTTTTGTTTCCTGGCAACTCAGGTGGATTTTGTGGCTTCAGTTGGGCTCTCTACAGTCACAGCAATACTGCTGCTTGTACACAAGATGCATCCACACCTGCTGCTTGCTGGAACACACTGGCAGGAGTGGTTTTCTCTCAGCCACTAGCTCTGAGGTACTGATTGATACATACAAGTGATTCTGCTTTTGCTTTGTCAGCTTTGCCATTTGCTTGCTTCTCCATCATCTGCCCAAATCGGAAGGAAAAGCCTCACAGAATCCCTTCTCCTCCCAGATGCTCCCAGCATCAATGCAAAGAGACTTGGCAGTCCCCAAAGAGATTGTAACGTATTCCCTTTCATAGAATCATAGAATCAGAGAACTGTTCAGGTTGGAAAATACCTCTGAGACCCCCAAACCCACCCCCACCTTGCTCACTGACTGTGTCCCCAAGTGCCACATCCCAATGAATATTTTTACTATTACCCAACCTGAACTGCCCCTGAAACCTAAGGCCATCACTTCTTGTCCTAATCACCATTACCTGGGAGCAGAGGAGCCTGCAGACCTTACCTGGGGCGAGCTCAAGATTCAACCATGCCAGAATCCACACTCAGCCTATTTAAGGGATGTCCTGAGTTGGCATGCTTGCTTCAGCTTTGCCTTTCTCTATGAGGATATCTAATGAAAACACATGAAATTTCTGTGAGGGAAGCCCTCCAAGTGCCTTTGTGATCATTTCGGAGAAGTAAGGCAAGTAGAAAGGGGAAAAAAAAAAAAGGAGTTGTAATGTCGTGGCTGTAGGATGGATAATGCAGTCCATCGGTGCTGTACTGAATGCAATGAGTCTCATTGGAAAGATGATGATAGAATGCATTGATTGATTAGAGCATTTTAACTTGTAAGTGTGGAGGGAACCGCAATCTGGTTTTCATGGGATCAGATCTGTGAAGGTCCTGGCTGCCATCTAGTGGAGCTGTGGTGTACCTACAGACAAAAATAAATTGCCGGTATGGGAATAGCAGAGAATTTACCTGAAGGTAAAATGTCTTTGTCACTTGAGAAAAGATAAAGTAGCTGAAATGCCGCATGGGCACCGATGCAACTGAGGTCAGAACCACACCATAATTACAGAGAATGGGATATAAATGAGCACTGAGGTCATCTCACCCTGCAGTCTGAGACAGCTCAAGTCCTCCCTGTCACCTCTATGGAAAAACAGGGAAGGTGAAATGCTTCACTTCTACACTGCCATATAATCACTACTTATTTTATTGTAGCATGTTTTTGTGTTTCCTTGCAAAACTGTACCTTATTTCAGTCTACCCAACTGGATAGAAAAATACAATAAGCAGCAGAATATCATGGGGCTGCCCAGAGCCACATCCAGCCTGGCCTTGAATGCCTGCAGGGATGGGGCATCCACAGCCTCCTTGGGCAACCTGTGCCAGTGCCTCACCACCCTCTGGCTCAAAAACTTCCTCCTCATATCCAAGCCAAACCTCCCCTGTCTCAGTTTAAAACCAAGAGAGGCTGGATTAAAGGGGAGAAAAAAAGACAATACTTTACATATGCAAAACCAGTCAAATTAGGGAAAAGGGAATGGACAGATGTAGCCCTTCAACCTGCAAGTGGCTTGACCAGAAGAAAGGACTGTACAGTCTGAGCATGGAGCAAGGAATATCATCACTATCTGTAGAGTTCTGCACACACTGACTTCAGTACAGACAAAAGAGTGCGTCGAGTTAAGGGAGGGAAATAGGAGAAATCAAAATCAGATATATTTCAGCCATTTGTGTAGACATGACAGCATTATTTACATTTTCATACATTATAAATTACATTGACTGCATCTTTGCCTGTAACTTTAAGAAATCTGTTCATTGTCCACTTACAAGATAATACTACTGCTGTATAAAATTACAAATAATCTTTTTTTCTTGTATTTTGAAATATTTGTATACATTAAAAAAATAACCTTTGAGCCAAAATATACTACAAATAACCATTTCCAGTATTGTAATATGATATGTAATATGAGCATTATGCATTTTTATGTGTTACTAAAGGACATTCTGCGAGTACAAGAATCACGAAACATTCATGATAAGTGAAATTCTCTTTTTAAGTGCTTTGGTTTTCAGATTTCCACAGTATGTCAGCAAATCACGTCCGCCATGCAGAAGGTTCATCATCGCTGATGGTGGATTTGCTTTACAGTAGGCAAAACATGATTGAAAGCTTTATTCTTCATAGAATAACTACAAGACTTCCACCTTAAGAACACCGTGCTCATATCTTAATTTGATAATATGAGAGAACAACTCAAGCTAGACAGTGAAGATATAATTGTCTCTCTTGCAATCAAAGCTGATTTAGATTGCACATCTGACCTCAGTTTTAATTTTCAGACCTCTCCCAATCATCAGGGATCAGTGCTGCTAAGTGCCCTTTTGTGCCTGTGCCCAATCCATTGAAGGTGGACAAGGACAGCTCTCTTTCCCTATAAATACATACAGGCAACACTGAAGAGATGAAATATGGGCGCTTGGGTGGGTTAAGGGCTTTGGATATTGGTTTAGGTAAATTTTTTACTGCTAGAGCTTTTATTAGAATAATAAATTTCAATAAATCTTACTGAATATATTGGGCTATATCTATGTTTTTACGTCAGCTCTTCTCTACAGTTTCCTCTGGCAAGGTCAATGTCCTTATGACTGCAGGATATCCCTTGGTGAGGTGGTGTTTAATGTATTATAGTTTGAATTGTAATTTAAATAAAGCAAAATATTGAAATAGACATTGAATCATAAAATATTCCTAGTTGGAAGGTAGACATGGTGATCATTGAGTCCAGCACTATTCTTTAGAATCTGAAATTGTTTCATTACATAAAAAACAATGATTGTTACTCATATGAGTTCTATCCATTCTATCTATGCATCACTTCATTTTTTAATATCAAATGCATGCTCTTAGTCAGAGACACCTTGCCCTTCCTACTGATCTCAAGGTTATTGACAGTCATGTAGAGTTGGGAAGCAAAGTAAGGCACTAGGCTACACAGATTCTATGGAAAACAATGTAAAAAGGGTGATGGCCTGATAAAAAATTAAAAGATAAAAAATTCAGGGGCAAAGTGCATGGACAAAAATCATACAGGAAATATTATCTGACTGTGTAATGTTGAAGAAACTATTCAAATGCTAACCAGTGGGGAAGGCTTCCATTAAAAAAAAATAATAAAATATGCAAGATGAGGTCTTCAGTGAAGCCGTCCTGTCAAAAATAGTGTTTATTTTCGGCAGGTGCCTTTGAGGGTAGAAAGAGAAAAGCTAATCATCACCATGCAATCAGTTGTGATACAACATGAAAGCCAAGTCCAAATGATTTCAGTTATTTGGCAGTGGCAGAAATGGAGCACGTTTCTGCTTGCTGTAACCTGCGGTGCGTTTAGCTAGTTTTAGAGCTGGTGGTGGCAATGGTGATGAGGAGGTTGGACTAGATGATCTTGTAGGTCATTTACAACCTTGTGATTCTGTGTGTGATTCTAGCTCAGGCAGCTTGCCCAGGAACTCCCATTTACTTCTGTCTTTACTCATTGCAGAGTAAACCCTGAAGCAATTTCCACACCCTGAGCCTGACTTTCTCACTCCAGGTCAATTTTTCATTGTTCTGGACCCACTCCAAGCAAAAGGAAATCATACTCAGCACCGTTTACTCTTCAAAGGTCAAGAAGTTTCTGTTGCTCACATTTTTCTTACCTATTTTACAAGTTTTCACAAAATGCACAGGAACGTGCTGAAACAGAAACTTATGCAATAAGTGTGCATACTGTTCTATAGTAGTAGAGTTAGCTAAATAGAGATGAACTAAATTCAATGCAATTCCCTTCCTGAAAAACAATGAAGACTGTGTGGGTTTTAGTTTTGTGTAACACAACATATTCAAGATCAAATTTGCTTTTAATGTATCATAATTTTTGCCAAATTCTCTGCGTTTCACTTCTGTTCATGTTAGCTGAAATGATGTTTGAATGCAGCCAAATATCTTCCTTACTGTATGTTCTAAAATGTAAATCAAAACTGTTTGGACAGATAGCTGGTATTCTTGATTCAGAGGGTTTGGGTCCAAGCCCTCAATGCAGGCTTCTATAAAAGCAGAGAACAAGAGCCCTGAGAAATCTGTGCATTTATGTGCCTTCATATCTATTCATAATACGTCCGTTTAACCTCAGTGTCATCATGGTAATATCATTTCAGAGTTTTAGAACCTGATTACCAGCCAGAAAATCCAATTAATACAGTAAGTATTTATAATACCTAATATGACATGTTATACCACCGGTTGAGACATGGAGACAAGCAAAATGCCATCACATATTCAGAAACTGGGTGAGCCAGACAATGACTGATCTGTTTAGTAGAAGGAAGAATTTTGATTGTTTTTTAATCTCCTTTTATCTTCCAGTTATAGCTCATGATGGCCTTCAGGGGAAATTTTGCAGTTAATTGTACAACAGAAATGCAGAAGTCGTAGGAGATTTTCTATATCTAAATGTCTGTGGGTAGAGGTGGGTAACATGCAGACTTTTTACTCTAACTGCTTACTGTGGTCTCCCTTTCTAATGGGTAGAGGCCATGATCTCCTTAGGCTGAAACACCTCCATTTTCAGGAATTTACCTCTGTTACTCACTTGAAAGAAATCATCAGTCACCATGTTCTTCCATCTAGCTCATCTTCAACCTTTTTGGGTAAGGGAAGGGAATAAAAATGAATGACACCATAAGGCCTTCAACATAACCTGTGTACGTACAAGTGTACATTTAATTACAGGCTTCTGAACAGTGGTGAGCACAACCAGTCAGACATGAGAAAATACTTAGCAACATTCCTAGCCCTTCTCTTCTGTGCAGAACACATTTATTACTTTTCTTTTGAATTATCTTGCAAAGAGCAGTTATTTCTTATGGAGCTGTTTCCTCTTCTTTCTGATATTTGGCTTTCAGAAGACTTCTGTAGTTACTGGAATAACATTTGAATACGAGAGTCTATTTGTTTTTGCCATGTATATTGAGACTATTTTATGTAAATAGAGAATAGAAGAAGAAACAGAAGTTTTTAGTCATGTGTTGCAGTTTGACAAGGCATTTCATTTCTTGACAAGGCATTGCATCTCTACAGAGTTGAAATAGAAAACAAATATTGAACAAGCTGAATAGACTCCTGCGCCCATTGTGTGAAGACTGAGTACTTATTTCCAGAGATGGTCATTTATGGTGTCACTGAAGGGTGCTCCTGGTGCCCACTCCCTGTCACATTATGCTACACAATTCATTAATAAGAGAGTACGGACAGGGAATGAAGAAGAGGCAATATCTGCAGTGTGTGTTGCAGTGGTTTATCCATGAGAGGGTAATTATAATTGGAAAATCAGTCAATCCATCACTTCAGCACTTATAGTGTAAGAGATAGCTGGTGGGCAGAATTTCTGCAGATGTGGATCTTCCTCCAATTTGCTCTCAATAAAGTGTCATTGTTAAGATTTTTTTTGCTGTTGTTTGTTTTCCCTAATCATGCTTATTATTCTGATTTCTCCAGATTCTGAGGCTGTCCTTAGCACACAGATGTATTCATTTTTACTCCAGAACTGGTTGGCACAGTCCATCTTGTCCTTCTCCAAACTGGCATAAGTCCATATCTCTTACCGTGCCATCTCCGGCCAATTTCCGTTTGCACCTCAGAAGGAAGGGAGAATGTCATTATCTGGTCTCCTAGTGTCAAGCAGGAGAAGGGTGGGAAAGAGGAAAAACACAACTGGTGGCTGAGAATGGTAGGGGAAGGGGAAGGGAAGGGAAGGGAAGGGAAGGGAAGGGAAGGGAAGGGAAGGGAAGGGAAGGGAAGGGAAGGGAAGGGAAGGGAAGGGAAGGGAAGGGAAGGGAAGGGAAGGGAAGGGAAGGGAAGGGAAGGGAAGGGAAGGGAAGGGAAGGGAAGGGAAGGGAAGGGAAGGGAAGGGAAGGGAAAAGGAAAAGGAAATAATTTGAGGTTTCTAATACTAGCATTGAAAATGATTTTCTCCACCAATAGAATGTTTTCTTAGCTTTTTTTCAGTATATTCTGTCCTTCTTTCTCTCTTTTTTTTTTTCAATTTCTAAACCCTTTGGAAACTTATTCCAGGAGTGATGCTACCAATGCCATCTGTGCAATTAAACACATTGTCTCCACATTGTTTGCTTTCCCCAATTACTAAGGGATGTCTTCTTGTTCCCATCTGTTTCTAGAACAGTATAATTTGCATCAAGTTCCTTAGTCTACACTCCTTGATTTGTGGCTAAGAAATAATACTACTTTGCTATTTAAGATAGCAAGGGGGAAAAGCCACAAGCAATCATTTGCTTTCTGCTGTTGACAAGCATTTGTGCCATGCCTTGGCACGTTCACAGAAACACACACTGTGTCCAGACCAGACACCGAAGCCTGTTTTAACATCTGAATCTCATTAGAAATGTCTCTTCCCAGATGCTCAATAGGAAGGAAATAACTAAACTGAAGTGCTGGATGTCTGCAGTGTCAATCTGGATGTAAAGCTAATGAGTTTATCATCAGAAGAGATTAGAGACAATTAATAATCTCTGGTGAACAGGAATATTAGCTGAGCGCAATTAAAAAATGTGCAATCATAAACTCAACCAAAATGCTAGGAAGTGCTAAAATATTTGAAGTCTCTCAGTTTAATATTTGAGAAAATTCTTACTAAATAATCAAGAAAACATTGACCATGGCAGAGTAATCAATTAAATACTGTTTTCAATCTTCATCAGCCCAAAACGTTAGGCTTGGAAAGTGGACATCAAGTCAAAACAACCCAGGAATCAGCTGCCTCTATCACAGATGATTGCACTTTGTACTTGAATCTTTCTCTACATTTCACTGTTATGTTCAGGAACACGGTTCAGCTCCTAAGCACAGCTCTGATGCCTTCAGGGCTGGTGCTCCGTGTGGTGGCATACATGAATCTTAAGACTCTCCCTTCATAGGAGTGACACGTAGAAATTCTAGAGGATGGAATCACTCATTTCTCCACTAGATGGCTTCATTCTCATGAAGAAAATTGAAATGAAAATCAAATGATTCCTGCTTTGACTATCCTGTGAAACTAAAAAACATTAATAGATTACCTGCTTGCATGATACTAACTATTAACTCCATAAACCTTCATGTGAAATCAGTGTTTTAAGGATGTATTTTCCTTACCTCTTGGTTAAGGAAACAGTAGAGGAGTGCTACAATAAAGCCCTGAAGATGAAATAGAAAACAAAAGAGCAGTTGAGTGTTATCACTGTTTGAAAAAGCCACTGGCACAGACTGCATGGAAGTGCTGTGCATGTGAGTCAGTGAAGTTAGAGGATTTGTACAAACCATGTACCTCCAGCAAAGCCCATCCGTCAGGTAATCAACTGGTTAATTGCCCTTCACCAAAGTCATTAAGGTCATAGAAATTCACAGGAATTCACAATACAGAAAATTAACCCTCAAATTATGCTTACCAATGTATGTCCATTCTACAGTCAAGGAGCTCATAGAGCTTTTCTGTCAACTTCAGTCTCAGCAAGGGATCAGATGAGATAACATTTTTGACTACTGAATACATTTACAAAGTTTCTGAACTAAGATAAACAAAGGAAAATCTGAGGATGACAGTGCATCTATATACTCAGCTACTCATTAAACACATAATCTTTTTGTTCAGCTTACTTTTTTCTTACTTTGTTAGTTAAAAGTGAAGGGCAGATCCAGCTATGGAGGCTCAGAATTCAGTTGTTCAGGGGTGATTGTACAGGATTGGCACAATGAGTTAAATTTGCACAAGGACTGAACCAGCACAGCTTGTGGGTTTCCAGTAATGCTCACTGACAACTGATGCCACGCAGCCATTTGGAGAGAGATGTGCTCCCTTTTGAAGTTCGGTAGGATTGCACACATCTGTTTCTTTTAGACTCTGAGATGTGGCACAGAGACAGAGAGGAAAGCAAAGGGAAGCAGAGTGCTGTCTTGTTTTTAACTCAGGCAGTAAATCTACCTGGAGGGGTATGTCAGGACAGCCCCAGTTGCTGTTGCAGCTGGCAGCAAGCTCATCGAGCTGTTCATGCCTTGTATGTCCATTCAAAGTACTTGGGACACCTGAAGTACATGAAACACTTTTTTCTTACCACAGGGGGGAAACACGTCAAATTTCCCAGAGCAGCAGACTGTCTGAGGTATCTACACCCAACAAAGCTATTTTTCAGATGTATTTGAACTACCAATTTATTCCTTGCCAAAGAATTGGAAAGGGGGCAGGACCTACAGCTTTGATTGCCTATGGTTCTTCTATCGTCAGGCCCAAATGGATTGATCTTGTCAGTGAAGTCAGGGAAGGCCTGTGGGCTGTTAGCAAAGATGGCTTTGTCCTGTCTAACTTTGACCCAATGTTGAACTAACACATGTATATCAAAAACTTGGTCATGTACTGGCAATCTGCAAATACACAATCTGACATACAGCCAGGTAGGATGTGTATTGCATCCTCAGATCTGTATCCCAGCAAAGAACCTTGAGGAGATACTATCTTCAAGATACAGTTATCTTTTGTTTGCTCCTAGGTGTCACATAGGTGACACAGGATTAAATCAGAAAATCTACAAGGAAGGAACTGAAGTTTCAGCAGTGAACTTACCTGAAAAGATCCAAAGCAGAGCTCTAAATAAAGCCGAATGCCAAGGCTGGTGTATTCCGGAAGAAAGTTGAAGACAATATAATGGGTTCCAAATAAAGGAATTAGAAGCAGAGTTGACCTTGAGAGGCGTCTAACACGAGCCATGAGAAGAAGTAAGGGGATTATTTTTTTTCAGAGTAAAGACCAACGCATTCAATATGTAATAATGATGAACAAAAGTTAGCGAGGAGATCTGAATATCTAGGTATTGAGTTCTTATCTCCTTGGACTATAATGCTAGTCAGAAGGCATAATGAGAAAATAGCTGGAAAGACACTTCTTGTGCTTATTGCCTTATTAGGAAGACTGTATTTATGACATAAGGTATTTTGGCATTTGCTTTTCCAAATGAAATTGTAATTCTGGAAAAAACAAGCAGTAGAATATTTTTTGCTCTACTTGAGCCATTGAATTTTTTATATTTATTTGTAAATGAGAAAAGATGAAGAAATACACAGTCTCCTTGTATAGTTCATGTCCATAGAAGGACAACTCCAGACAGCAATTTACTCCTTTGATGACTTTCAAAGGGATTAAGATAGCACTGGGAATTTCTAATATTAAATGCCAGCAAAACTGAGTCTGGTTTTGGCACTGGGCATGTACTTCTGTTTAGAAAAGTTACTTTTGTGACTAAATTAATTGGCAGTGGGTTTTTTTGTTCCATACACTACCTGTACTGAGATGAGTTATTGAAGTTGATTTGCCTGGGGTCTAGTTTTTTCAGCAAAATTCTGATGATGTTGATAAATAGGACAAAATTGACCTGTTAAATTTTTTTTTTGAAAAACGAAAAGAAAAGGTTACTTTCTCATATTAAACTTTTCAATGAACATCATTATTTGCCTTCAGTTACACTGTCATTTGTATCATTTCAGTGAAACCTGGGGAAGATTATCATTATAATCCCTGCTTGCAGCATTCAGCCCTCTCAGTAGGTTGCACTCCCAGAAGAGGAGATCAAGATGAGAACATGAGAATTTACCTCTGTTAAGCAAGCTACTTTTATCAGTATCTCATGTGATTCATATTCTTTGTAGCTCATATTTTTTTTCTTGTTTGAGCTGGGTGTTGCATTTCTTTAGACGTTAGAATTCATCCTGTTGAATATAGAGAACTATGAAGGCTGCTTCTGAACTGATCACCCTGTTCTCTCTTTACAGTCAGTGGAGAGCGAGGTAACGACAAGGTCTTAGATGGAGTTGAGGATCATCACTTCCAACCTCAGACATCAAATGATTCGCATACCAGTGGTGCCTGTTTCTCATGGTTGGCTCTGAAGAAAGCTGAGGAATCTCAGCTCCAGAGCTGCCTAGGGTCAATCCTAAATTGCAAAGTAAATTTTATCCAGTTGCTATTGGGCATAGCCCTGCTAAAGTCTATGGCTCAGCTTAGCACTCTAAAATCCATCAGTGAAACATTAAGTACATCCCAGCAAAGAATTCATCACTGTAATCTCCTGAATCAAATGAGGATGTCAAACAGAAAAGTAAGCAGAAAACTAATTGTGGTAGAAAGAAATGTCAGATTTTATTAGAATGTGCAACTATGACCAGAGTTCAAATTGAGATTATTCGTTCATGTTGTCATATATGCCTTATTTGTATGCATCTGTGATCCAATTAAATTAATCTTTAGATAGACAGCTTTAAAGCCATTCACTCTAAGAACAGCTGATGCCTTTCAGATTCCTCAAGCTTAATGACAATTGGGAGTAATCATATGCCATAATCATTTAAGGCCCATCAGTTTATTCAGTGAACATCAAAATCAAAAGCTATTATTATCATCTTTTGTGAAATAAGTCCATTACTCTTGAAAATTTGTATAAAGATTTAGGGCTGATTCTGGATTATTAGCCTAAAACCTCACTTTTCAAATACTAGGAGAATAGTTTAATCACTCGCCACCAATTTCAATCACACTAAAAATTCCAGGAAAATGTCAATTCTTTGAAGAATGTTTGCTGTAAGTAATGGGAAGAGGGCAGTGCTCTGCCTCTTTCTGGCCTACAGTAGATGTAGGTCAAAGACAGAACATTTCTACAGTACAAATTCTACCATTCCTCCTCCTGATTTAAAAACTAAAACATTTCATCAAACAGTAACTAGATTTGCATTTAGAAGACTGTTTTTTCTTCCAAGTAGTGTTCACAGAGTTAGAAATACTTACCCCAACAGAAATTATAATAGGTCCTTTGATTAGCCACCAGTAAGGAGAGTCCTGATTAATATCCCAGCATCTGAGAAAATACTGATATGTTTAGAAAAGAGGTGTACATGATCACTGCAATCAAGACACCATAAAACAGTGCCAGTGAAATTCTCAGTAGATGTACTTTTTATAGAGGTGTAGGTATACTGCAAGCACTGATATATGCAGATATATCTGCTCTCTACAAGACATATTTTCTTATAGATTATCCTACTCTCTTTGAAAAGATACAGAGCTATCATGAAGCATTAAAAGCCAAGAATGTGACAGTTCCAATAAAACACGTGAACAGATGACAGATATAAAGATATGGATTTCTTCTTCAAAAACACATATTTAAAATGTGAAACAGTTTGTCTGAACTCCAAGGTTCAGAAAATCCAAATGTATTTTGTATCAGAAGCTCCAAAAATTCTGCTGTATCATCTTCCTTATCTGTTTGGAATCTTTTTCTCTTGCAGCCAAATTAAATATATCAATTTCCTGGGAAGAATGCCCTACACAATTACAATACTGCTGCCAGATTATACTTCAGTAGATGGTGTAATCCCCGTTCTCTATGTCTACAGGGGAATGGAAACTCAGAACTCCACAGCAGGCACTTATCTAAATGGTGATGTAGAGAAAGGAAAGCCAATAACATACTGATATTATTTTCCCATATCCATGACATGAGCTTTCATAGCTACCATTATGTTTAAGATATAACTCATGCAGTAATGTAGGAGACAGTGACTTACGATGTGTCTTCAAAGTAGAACTTTGCTAATATCCATATGAAGGTGAAAAGTGTTGGAAAACCTGTCAGACAATAAAACAAAAAACTTTGTTTTCTGGTTTCATCAATTGATCAAAATCTTGTCCATTGGAATTCTGCTGAGATGCTGCTTCTCAGCCATTTTTGGAACTGGAATTATTGTTTGTGGGTCCCTGAATCTCATGGAATGAGACAAGATATAGCGTTGACTATTTGGTGATCATGCATCAATGTGAAATGTAGGGGAATACAGAAGATACTTGCACATGGCATAGTGATGCCAGGAAGGTCTGAGCTTGCAAATTCTTAACTACACAAACACAATTCAAATGGGATTTTACCTTAGCACTTGCATGCAGATAGCACATTAAAACCTAGATTGATACAATCTGTTCTTTTCACATGACAAAAGACTAACGAATATTGTCTATCAGTTCTTCAAATGATAGCAATATGAACAGTTTGCAAACATTGATTGTGATGCACTCCAGTTTAAACCTTCCTTGAAATCTTCCCAAAACACAAAGACTGATTGATATTCTTAGTTGCCAAGCTCACCCTAACCTGAACTGACCAAAACTTCCCTTGGTCCATATATCCAAAGGAGGAAGTTGTCTGATTTTTGTTTTCCACAGTGAGTTTTCAGATCAGGGACTGATACTTCATGCAAATCCCCAGATGTCCTTATTTTTCTATTCCTTTCATAGGGACTTCAGTGCTGTACTTTTAAAAAGCTCGATTGCTCCTCAATAATGTGTGTGTAAAAATAAAAGCAAACTCAACACTTGCTTTGATTTTTGTTACTGACTTCAGTTAGGCAGGCTCAATTACATTTTTTTTTTAATCAGATGAATAAAGCTTTTTGTAATATCTTGCCTTTCATTAATTTTATGTAAAATCCTTACTTACCCCAACCAAAGAGAACCAGCCACCAGAAATATTTTCTTCCATGAGAAAGGGATGAGAGTAGTAGACAATTAAGGTAAAGAGCCTCTACCAGCAGCCATATGAAATTGGTCATCATGAAGTAGTGACAGAAAACAACTGAGATCTTGCATTCAGTCTAAGGTAAACAAAGTCATAATTATGAAACAACATGTGGATATGTAAATTATATTTGCAGATGTGTAATATCTAAAGAGACTAAAGATCTAAAGACCTAAAAAGAGTAGGATCTCACATTTACTGCCATGTTTAAAGGGAGACTGTCAGATGTAATATGGCTTTCTGAAGAGTAGGACTTAACAGCTTGGAGTCTGTACTGTATTTTACTTTATGTCTCCTTGCTATAAATGTAGCTGGGTCTCCCAGTCATGAGATTTCTCCTACACATGGACTGCTTTCAGTGTAGCTTATACAAGTAGACTGAAATGCTCACTAGCTCTTGGAAATAAGCATGTTCAAAGACCCTTCACTTTTTCTGCTTTAAATTTTGTGTGGCCATGAGAAATAACGAAGAATCAGCTAATTAAGCTGTGTTTGAGAACAACCTTATTGCCAATGTTTGTCACTATTCAAAACTAAATTGGTTGTCCAGTCTCTTGCACATTCTGTGGTCTACAGTTTGAAGCTTCGGTCAGAACACAGAATCCAGCCTTTCCAGAAAATGAAAAGATGTTATGAGATACTCAAGAGATCTTTGATTTTAGGCTGTAGGTCGTAGAAGAGTAGCAGAATAATGGTACTATTCTTTTCTACAGCACAGTCTAAATCTGATTCAGAATACAAGAGGATCACAGATTGATGAACTCAGGACATGGACAGAATATCCACCCTTATGAAAGTAGAACATTTGAAGACAGTGCCTGAGGGTACTAATTAGTGTTCACCACCACAAAACAAACAAAGAAAGAAATAAATAATTTTTTAAAAAGCAAAAGAAGAAATGGATAGTAAGTCCACACATAGATGGCATGAAAAAATTATCAAGTACCACAATATCTTGCTCTCAAAGTGCTTACTGTAGAGAAACTGCAGTGGTCAATGTCTTCCTCTTGGAAAAGGACAGAATCCTTAATGAAAATGGCAATAGCCTTTAAGATGAAAGTGAAAAAGAGCTGTATGTGGATGTAATTTCTGGGGCAGCGTAGCCTCCTGGAAGGAAAGAAGAAAAGTCCTTCTGAAGTAGTTCACTGACTTGTGCTGGTAGTAATTCAGATACACGATAAAGCCTTGTTTCACCTCAGGTATTTCCAGGCACGTATAGAAAGAACTCTTCAATCCACTGGGAGGGTAAACAGGCAGAGACAGAAACCTTCCTCACATAAAGCAATTCACCCACATCTTTTCTCTAGTTAGATCATGGCCTCCTTTTAGTTATGTGTTCATTGTGCCTGAACTAAGATGTTGGATGGTTGGCATTGTTTGGAGACAACGAGAAACCTGTGCTTGGAGAAGGGTCTTCACTGGTATAACTTTGATTACAGCTATACCACTCCCAACAACAGGCATACAGAGATACTCCTGTCTAACTAGACAGTTGAACCTCAGTGAAGAGGGTAATGATTATTTAGCAAAGTTTCCTGCATAGCAAAATATTGTGGTTGAGTTAAATTGCATTAAATCTCTGTGTGGATTGCCTTATCAAGAATTAAAGAATGCTTCCTTAGCTCACCAAAACTTTATCATATGAATGAAATGAATGCAGATAATTGCCTTAAAACAATTTGGCACATCTATTTTAAATTCCCACACTGAGTCAATAGAGATTAATTTTTCTGATTGTTACTAAATACAGACTTTAAAAGCTGCATTCCTTTCAGATCCATTAATCTCAGGGTCACCTACTCTTAAAGCTCAGCTAGCGTGTGCAGAATTTTACTACCAAACAGAAATGCCAACCCCATTGTTGGCACTTCACTATAAGTCTTTCCTCCCTGTTCCTAAGTCTCTTTCTGTCAATTGTTTCTTTCTTTCCCATTAATTGACTTGGTTTGTTTTCTCAGGGTCAGGATGGATGTCAATACACGTAACTGTTGACTTCCAGACATAAACTAGGAAGCAGAAGAGGTCAAGAAACTTTCCCCAGAGAAAGCTGATTCTCACAGAGTAGTAAGAAGAGGTAATAAATCTCTATTTTATTATTATTTTTCACTCTGCACAAGTACAAGAAGTAAGCAAAGATTTGTAAAATAAATCCTATATGGTAGCAACCATCATATCTACACTGAATAAGAATACAAGCAATCATTTCACATTGAACTGTGAAAGAAATGTTACCAAACGTGCCAAATTCAGACTAAACTTCACAGGTATGTTGTTTGTTCTAAATGTTTCAGTAGTGATATATACAGTGCCATAGGAACACTGGCTCAGAATTGAGTTATTTTTTATTTTCCTTGATATAAAATCTGCTAAGCTCATATAAGCAAGCATACATTGCTTACCAAAATCTATCTTCATTCCAGCTAAAGTAAGCAAATCTATCTTTTGGTTATTATTATCTGAATTGCTGGCTATTGCTAGCAGACAATCAGTGCTTATTTCCCAGTTCAGGTTATTCTTATTTCTTTGTTTCTCTGATAATCTTTATTTTCTAACCTGAATTTAATATTACCAAACCAAAATTGTCTGAAAGTCTTAATCTATTCTTCTGAGTTTCTGTTTCTATTACTTTCTCATGTCAAATCATGTCACATAAAGACTAAGGCACAAAGAACTGTTAAATGAATCAAGTTAGAAGGTAACTTCACATACCTGAATGCCATTAGAACTGTCACAGCAATAACGAGTGAGGTAATAGACAGGCTGTATCCTATGGTATATATTATCTTTATCGTAGAAAAGTAGGATTGCTATAAGAGAAGAGAATGGATTTGTTACATAAATTGCAGCCAGATGACAGCTGCTTTTCTGATTTTAGCAGTTTTGCTTCATTTGGTGCTTCCAAACTGTTCAGAGCCCTGACAGCCTTTTTTATCCTAATTCCACAGGAAATTTCAACAGAAATCAATCATTAATATTTCTTCCACAAAGACCCTTTCTATAGGTATGTGAACATAACACAGTTTGATAAAGAACTATTTATTAAGTTGGTTTCAAACTCACTCATAAGCCCTGAAAAGACTAAGTGAATCTTCCATAACAATACTGAAAAAACTCCATTTTGATAGGCATTGTATTCATACTGTGTTTTCTGCACAGCAGTAGTGAAAAGACAATCCTGCAGGCTGCATGATGAATAAAGAATGCTTTCAGCTTTCCCTTATGGTCTCTCTCCTTCCCTTTGCTCTATCTCCTTATTTATAATTTTGCCACCTATTCCTTTTTCCATTAAAAACAAAAACAAAAACAAACAAACAAAAAAACACAAAACACAAAAAAGATATTTTATTTTTCTTTTCCTGGGGATGTTTCATTTTTCTTCTTGCTTGCATTTCCAATTTGTGGCAATCAAAATCCATTTCTATCTTAATGGCACCTCTTATCAGACATGGTCTCTGAGTGAGCATTATCTGACTTTAGCTGTCATGCACGGACACAGAAAACAGAATGAAGAAGCTTCAGGCTGTATATCTTTCCTTTTTATCTCTTGGCTCTGTCTCTTGGGCCCCCATTCAATATTCTTGCATCCTAACAACCATGCAGCTGTGCAGTGTGATTATCTACAGTTCAAGGGGAGGGATGGCATGTATTTGTTTTGAGCTCTGGGTTTCACCAAAGGCATTATGAGCATGATATTGGGTAGGGCTTATTTCATTTCTGTTGGATAATTAGCAGTTAGCTTTCTAAGAAAAAGTCTATCCTAAAATGAGCAGTGTGAGAGCACGGCCCAAGGACTGTGCTGGTTAGATGTTATCACAGCACTGTTTATGAATGGCTCCTTTTCAGTTAGTGAAGGGAGACAAGCACCTCCAGATGGCAATCCATCTTATCTGAAGATGGAAGCCTGGTTGCTTTCCATCAGCAAGAGAAGAAATCTATCACTGTGCTTACTTAGCAAGCAGTGCAACTCAGTAGTTCTGGTAGAGCAGAGTGAAACTTTTGGTGTGGAAGACCCAACATGCAGACTGTGAGCATTTCCAGGTACCATGGTAGAATCCACGCTGGACTTCTATTCTTGGTCAGAGCACACTAGGTGCACCTTGCATTAGTTTTCAGTTTAGTATTATCCATAGGAAAGCAGATCAGTCTTTCTGAGAACATTCCTCAAAAACAACATAGGGGCAATAAAAATAGGGGCAAACCCAGAGGTTTCTTAAAAAGCTTACACCTGATCCTGACCAAAACACTAGCGGAGATCCACCATGGAGTCATTTGCTTAGCCTTACACAAGATAATTTTGTATGTTCTTTTTTTGTTTGGAAAAGTTAATTGATCTGGAAACTGCACCAATTGGCCTTTACTGTCAGGTGGTCTGGAAAGCATTGCTCCTTAAGGCTTTATATGAAAAGCTGTGTTGGGCTTGCATTACTTGGCATCTTCCACTTATCAATCAGAGATGAGAAACTCAGCAATAGCCTTAAACAGATAAACATACAAAGTGGGACTTCAGGTAGAGGTAAATGAGTCACTGCTAAAAAAGAAAGATCTGGAGACTCATTAAGGTTGTTTATTTTACAGCATAAATGCAAGGAAGCAACAAAAGAAAGAAGAAAAGAGAAGGATCTTTGTGGAAGTGATTTTTATAGAGACCAGCAGGTACTGTGCCTCAGAGGCTGGGAAGGAAGTCTGAGTTAAACAACATGACAGCAATCAGCACAAAAAGTAATGGGTAATGAGAGAAATATCTCAATGACAACATAAACTAAATAAATGCAGTATTTTTTGAGCCTCATTTGGCACTATCTTATTTTTCCTCTGCAGATAAATTCTAAATATCACCCAGTGTGTAAATCTGGCTGAAGCAGTATGCCATACACAGATACAGACTCTGAAACATATTTTGTTTTTACTTCCTTGTTGATCTAAAAATTTTATGTTAGGGTGAGAAATCCTTCACTCATCCTGTGCTTTGTTGCTGAGTTCAGAGTGGTGGTGTTTTAGCAGTGCACTTGCTGTACTGGTGCTGTGATACCACAAAACCATCTTGCTGACTGATCTTATTGAATTGCCCTAATATATATCATATCAATATTTTGGAAGAGAATCTTAACTGTTTTATCTGTAAGCAGGTTCAACAGAACTGCGTGACTGCATAGAATTTGCAGCTGTGTTTCTAAGCATTACTCTCTCATAGCTGAAAAATAAAATGTAGTTCCTCAAAATAGGTGTTCAGAGTAAAATCACATTCCTTACTTGGTAAGAAACTTCAGTTTCAGCTGACTTTCTTTCCCCAGTGGTCTTCAGGAATAGAAAGGAATCCTGTAACGTCACCACATCACTCACATATGTTTATTTAATTCAACTTACTTCTTCAAGTGGAATCTCATCTTCAACTGGACAAGCAATATGATAGGAAGGGAATGGCTCTGACCAGCCTTTCTTTGTGCAGTTTCTTCTTATTATCCCAGCTGAAAGAGAATCACTTAGTCTTACCAGTGAAGAGCCACATGACACAGAAAATAAAAACCAGGAGATATCTTGCTAGTGTGAAGACTGAACTAAGAGAAGAGAACCATGGCCATTGTTATCCCAGATTGCTGACAGGTCCGTTTGCATGCGTACATCCAGGTAGTCAGGTACAAAAGTTTTAACTTTTTCTCTGGAGATAAAAAGCAGAAAGAAGTGAGAGAACCAAGGAGACAGAAGTAGAGGTGAAATGGTAAGGAAGAAATCATAGGAGGGTTGAGAAAGCCCACTGAAGAAGACTGGGAGGTGCTGCTCCAGTTTTCTGCCTCATTCATCTCTCACCCCTCTAATGTACCCCTTCTTGCTCTCTCACTTTCCTTGGGGCTTACTTTCCTCTGGAGACCAGACAATGGAATAAGAAGGGTTTTTTTGGAGATAACACATTTCTATAAAAAGATTTCTGAGTCAGATGAAGGATAAGTGAGAGAATCCCAGAAGAGGAAATGAAAGTACGCAGATGGAAGGGATTTTCCTTATCCCCTGTTCATAGCTAGCAAGTGCTGAATGAGGCTGAGGTTGGGGTTTGAAAACTTTTCTTCTTGTGGAACTGCCAAATCTGCATATTTCCTGGAAGATCATTTCCTCCTTATGGGATTGCAGTTTGTTCCTGGCCAGCTTTATCCAGAGAGTAAGCATTAACAAAGGCATTAACTTGCATAGCCTTGTGTTTAACCCAACACAATACATATGCTATTTTAATGACAAGATTCTGCTTTGTATTGCCAACCTTGGTCTTAAGAAACAATCAAATAATTCATTCCTCAGCCTTTCATTTCATCCCAGGCTAATCAGAGCATAGATCTTACAGAGACCCATGCTTAAGTTCTGACCTAGATGAGTCCTATGCTAGCTCTGTACAGATGTACCCAGCAAGATGATCTTGAATCCTGGGGAAACCAATGCAAACCACTTGACTGATTTTAGTGTTCTTTGGATCAGGATCTTACCACAGACTATGGGATTACATGTAGCTGTGTATCACGCATAGGGTGTGAGATATCTGCTCAGCATCCTCCAATCTGATTGAAATTTTTGCAGTGATGCTCTGATCTGAGTACAGGGCTGAAATTTTTGCAGTGTTGTGTCTTCATCAATCATTTTCAGATATGCTTGCCCCAGGCATGCAGCTCAATAATAATTAGACAACCAAAATAAAATATCACCTGGCTCTTCCATGAAGTGAAAGAGGATGTTTGGGCAAGGTAAGGCAAGAGTCTCTCCAGCATCTGCCTCTGGCCAGCAAAGTAATTTATCCCAGGTTTTCTTGCAACCTCAGACAGAAAGGGAAATACATTTTTAAGCATGATTACATTCGAGCAAAATGGAAGATTTTTTTTCTAACTTCAACCCTCTGCCCCTCACATTTCTTATAAAAATAGTTTAGGCTCAGTTTTTATTTTATAATGAGAGATAAACACCTCCAGATGAACATCTACTCTGCTTTACTCAGACCCATGATGCAACAAATGAAAAAATATGTTTAGGAAATGGGAGGGAGAGTTCTGCTGGAGGACAGACCAGATCATGTCAAGAAGTTACGCTGTTGTTGAAGACCAATGATGCCATGATGGCACTCAGCTAGGGGAAGGAGCAGGACAAAGCAATATCTATTAGGCTGTCCATGTTTGAATGAGAACAAAATATTAGTAAAGAACAATTGAAGGTATGGAAGCAGACGGAAGAGGAATTGAGCAGAGCCCAGGGATGTGGGACAGTGAGTAAAAGAATCAAACATGCATTGACAGTGACTGAGTCATGGTCCTTGTGGGGTGTTTATTCTCTGTCATTCAATTCATCCCTCTCTAATGGATACCTGATGTCGCATTCCTGGACTCCTCTGAGTTTTCCAGGCATTCAGCCTCCTTTTTCTTCAGCTCTGCTATAAAATCACATTCTGGATGGACATTCCCAGCAACCTACAGAAAGAGGAGTTTCAGCTGATGAGGAAGGAAGTTTCAGGAAGGATCTGAGAAGACACGACTCATTTGCTGCCTGACATTAGCCGCTACCAAATCTGGATCCAGGGAGCTAGAATGTTCTCCCTTTCTTGATAGTGAAGGGCATACAAGACCAGCCTGCTTCTCAGCAGAGACATGTCCCCTCCCAGCCTTCAAAGAAACATCTTGAATCTACATATGATTTTTTTATAAAACTGTCTTCTGAACAAGCTTTTAGCTCCAAAAAGTGAGGATCTGTTCTCTATTTTCTGCCATTGGTTGTGGTTGATGAAAAACTGACCATGAGCCCACAGTGTGCTCTTGCAGCTCAGAAGGCCAATGGTATCCTGGGTTCCATCAGTAGAGGGGCTGCCGGAAGGGGGGAGAGGATTTTTCCCCTCTATTCTGCTCTCATGAGGCCCCACCTGCAGGGGGGCCCTCAAGGTCTGGGTTGCCCCATACAGGAAGGATGTGGAGCTTCTGGAGAGAGTACAGAGGAGACCACAGAGATGATCAGAGGGCTGGAGCACTTTTCCTATGAAGACAAGCTGAAGGAATTGTGCTTATTCAGCCTGAATTAGAAGAGGCTGTAGGGAGACCTCATTGCAGCCTTCCAATATTATAAGGGGAGATTATAAGCAAGTGGGAAATTAACTTCTTACATGGATAGATAGTGATAGGACAAGGGGGAATAGTTTTAAAGACATTGGTTTTAGATATTCTAGGTGTTTTCATAACATCATGCCTATTAAATGTTGCTTTTCCACTGTTTTCTCTCATATGCATCAGGATGGCTCAATATCTCCATTCTTTTCACATTACAGTAAACATCACACAAGTGATGACAGCAAAAGAAGCCTCAGTTTATAGAAGGTGAGAGTCAGCCTATAAAACATTCAAAACCTCTCCAACAGTTGACTTCATCTCTTCCAAGGAAAGCACACTATTAGTTTTTACAAACAATGAAAAGAGGAGGCTGTTTTTCAAAACCGTTTTGTAGGCAAAATAACAATTGTTTGCATATCCTCTGTTACAATAACATATGTAAATGCACAATATGGGATTTATATTATACACTTACACATAAACATATGGGTTTTATTCAGTGCATAGTCTGAATAACATCACAACTGTCATGATTATGTAGAAGAAAATACCATTTCTCTTCTATAAATGGGGCACGTCCTTATAAAGACCTTCAGTGATATTGCTGACCTTACTATTAACCTGGATCCTGATATTCCACACAGCAATTATAATCCTCAGAGAACAGGGAAGCAGAGATTGTTGTGGGCAACACAAAGGAAAGCATAGCTTTACATGAATAAAAATATATACAGCAATTTTGCAGTGCTTTGTTTCTCTCAGTCCATGAAGAATGAACTGCTTTGCCACTCCTCAAGGAACGAACCATCAGAGAAGAGGTTCCCTGCATTCCAGTTCTCAGGGGAGAGCAAATGGTGTAGCAGAAGGATAGCAAAAGAAGATGCTGAAAACATCATCTCAAAAGCAAAGAAAATACCCTTCCCCCACTTTTCATACTTTTTCTGCTACGTGTGTGATTCTTAATGCTGGTTTCCTAATCACTGCCAGGAGCAAAACATCAGCAAAGCCTCTAAGCTGTCTAATGTTGTTGGATATTTCTAACTCCATCATAAGTATCCCTGCTGATTCAACTCATTTGTCACCTTTGGTATCCGAGCTGCTCACATGAAACGATGTTAATGCTACCAAAAAGGCAGATTAAAAGAGAACTAATAAGGCTGCATATTCTGAAAATCAAGAAAACTGTCAAGGCTCAACTGATGTAACAACTCTCCTCTACTTTCTTGTTACCGACTTTCAAAGCCTACACACACAAAAAAAGGGCATTTTGCCAATGATTTGAACAATGATTCAGCAAGTGGTAAGAAAGCAGTGAAAGGCACTGATGCACAGATCCTAGAAATTGTGTCCCTTCTGATGCTGTTCACTTTTCATAGCTTCTTACTTTGTTTAACTGTAACTTAAAACAAACAAAAAGAAAAAAAAAGCAAAACAACTAATTCAAAGAAGTACAGCTGTATCCAATCTGATCCAAGGAGAAAACAAGCAATTATTAAAAAACACTGAAGGAAAAGTTACTTTCATGCAATTACTCACAAGCACAGCAAGAGTCAGGGTGCACAGGACACAGCGGTATAACATGCTAGGATTCGTGCTCCAAAGCAAAGTCAGGCTTTAATTCTTTTATCTTCCTTAGCATCTTTCACCTTCCTTTTGGCTTCTCTTTCTCCCATCAATCAGTTGCTGATCTGAAGCATTTATCCCTTTAGATAGAAGTGACGTAGCAGCACTGTGAGGTGGGAATTAAATATTAACAACTCTCTAAGCTGCATTTAACCTGCTTTCCACATTTTAATTTTTCAGTATACTCAAAGACTGGATGGGTGGATTGAGAGACTGTTCCCAAGATTATCAGAAGATCAGCACCTCCTGGAGAGACGCCACTTTATCTCTCCATGACACAAAATAAGCTTAGGAGGTATAAAAGCTCCAAATTTTGCTAATCTTGAATTTAAACAACATGGCTTGAAAAACAAAAATCCACTTCTACCAGCTCTTGTTAATACCAGTTCATTCCAATGTAACATGATTCTTACTGTAGCTTCAGTGAATCTTTGTGTGGGTGTGTTTATATGGAAAATAACAACCATGGTACTACAATTCAAAATACAAGTTCAAAATCTGCTCACAAGCATATGAACCCAAGTTCTGTGGGGCACGTGTTGTAGGTTGATCTGAAGACAACAGTTGCAAGCGATTCTTCTCACTTTTCAAAGTTCAGTGTCTAAATCTAAACCAGTCACCTTCTGTAGTCAGAATATAGAAATACATTCACTCTGTTCATTCTCTTAAGATGAACCTTGAGACAGGTGATCATCATAGAATGATTGCAGAATCATTTGAGTTGGCCTTAAAGGCCATTTAGTCCAACCCCCCTGCAATGAACAGGGACACCCACAGCTCCATCAGGTGCTCACAGCTCCATCCAGCCTGACCTTGAGTGTCTTCAGGGATGAGGCATCCAGTGCCTCTCTGGGAAATTTCATGTGCTAATTCATAATTTGTGTTAAGATTTCAGGATGGCCTACAGAGAAAGGGCTCAGAACAGGGTAAGAGCAAAGAACAGGATGGTTGGTCCCATCCCACTCCAGAAACACCCATTTTGCCTAAATATCTAACATCTAAGTGCCATCTGGTCAGCTGTATTCCAGCCATCTTGAGTATATATGAAATTTTGTCTGTCGATAAATAATGTCTTGAAAGACACCATATTCAACATCAACATTCATTAAATGTTAACATTGCAAAAGCAGAGATACAAGATGTGAAATGCCTTTAAAATTTTCATCTTTCCTGTTTTCTCTCCATATAATGCCATTCATCCAAATCAGTTCTTAGCCCCAGCTTCCATCTTGCTACAATGCTCTATTCCCATATAACTGTTTTCCCCTCTAACACTGCTTTTCCTCCATCTTCCCCAGTAGTTAAATCACATGGCATCTTACTATTTATCTATACAGCTTGGGCAGGAGATTGACGAGTCCTGAATGACCACAGCTATGAGGAGCACCCTTAAAGTTGTGCTTATGCAGGGCTGGACCACACTTAGAAATATCTGTGCAGATGAAAAGTCTTCAGGGTTTGGCTCTAAGTAGGAGCTGAAAGAGAAAAGAGTGTGTGCAGTGAAAAAGATATCTTCAGAGAGCTGAATTTAGTTGGCAAGCTTTACTTCATTGTGCACATGAGGATTATTCTTTTTCCCCAGAGCATTTTGCCTTCCCTAAATCAGGCAAGCTTTCACAGGGCTGTTGAAAACAGAATTAGACCTGTGTTCCTACCACCATTCATCATCCAGTTCCAGAGGATGAAGCTCTAGACTTACTGGTGTATAACACCCATCAGTGTTTTTATCATGGTCAAATTCCTATAATTTTTCCTAACCTCATTTCAGAAACTACATAATTTGGAGCACAAAAATATTCCCCTGCAGAGGGCTAACGTAGAAAAAGCAAACTAAACAAAAAACAGTAAAGAATTCAGCCCATCGTGTAAAATTCAGTTTTTCAGCTGGCAAACTTATGAAAGAGAGTTGGTAAGAGAACAAAAAACTGCAGTCTTAATTTGTCATGGTACATGATTTTAAAATAACCTCTGAAAGCACTATTCAATTCCCACCAATGTTTTGCTGATTACCTCAAATCACCATTTGAGGAGGTGCATAACCTGGTTGTACGACCCTTCAGTAATAAGGCTGGAACAAGAAGCTGTACTGTCTTACTAATATTTAATATCATGATATTCCCTGAAAATCCTGTAAATCCACAGTGGAGGTTGCTGTCATCACAGCTCACGCCAGTAGAGGCCTCTCCTTTCTTCTTCACATCCCCTCTTATTTTTTCTCTGCAGAGATTCCAGAGCAGCCATCAGGCTTCCTGTAACATGCTAATGCCATGAAGAATAATTGTCTTCACGTTCAAATGATGTTACAAATGGTCTAGGAATGTTGTGGCCTACAGGCACTTCAACCTGTGTTCAAATAAGACTCATAAGCAGTCCTGTTTCACATGAGTTACGCCTCAACATTTCACAGGGATGCACTTTTTTGGCTCAAGTCTTAGAAAAAAAAAAATGGTTGCCTATGAGTAACTTTCGGTGTACGCATCAGAAATTCCCATTTCGGCCACAACATCTTTTGTGTTTATTCAGTGCTGCTGAATTCATGCCTAAAAAAATAAACCCACAGAAGACATTGCTTACCACTTTCCAAAGTATCGAAGTACATAGAGAGCCCAATGGAAAACATCTGTGATGGTGTCCGTTTTTCAGGGGCAGGGAGCACTGATATAGCGGGGTCTCATTCTGAAATCCACCACATTGAAACATTCATGGCCACAGTTTGTTTTGAAAAACCTGACATTTCTGAATTATCAACATTATTTTGCCAATCTGCAGCACAGACATTCCATTAAAATGAGTTCCTTCCTACCGTCGCTGTTCTGTGCAAATTCCCAGCTGTTTGTGATTAAGGAGAAGGGCACATCTAAAAGAAATGGACTTAAATGTCTTTCTTTCTTTCTTTTTTTTTTTTTTTTTTTTTTTTTTTTTGCATTAAAAATAACTGTTTTGTCATTGGGAAAAAAAAAAAAAAAAGTTTCCTCAGTAACTTACAGAACTTTGAGCTTCTTCATTTTACTGTAAAAGCACATCTGAAGGACTGGTATACCACAGGCACAGACAGAAGTTATCACTTCCAGCCTACTCTGCCCAAGCTTTTTCACTCTTGAAAATCACCACCCCTGCAAGCCCACTCCCACACTTCTCCTGTGCAGAGACAACTGTTTGATGCTTCAGTAATTACTCCATTTTCCCTCCACTTATTTTTCTGACATCCATGATCAGCGTGTTCCTGGGCACACTATGCTTCTCTGCCAAGCTCTTCTGAGTGGTGGCAAATTGCCTTTGGGACAGCAGAGCCGTGGTGGAGATACTGATGTGCAGTGAATGAAATATGCTTCTCCCCATGGGATATTCAAAGGTGAAATTCTGACATTTTCGCAGCTCTCCCTAGGATTGTCTTTACAGAATGGCATTAGGCCAGCTTGTGCTACCAGCCTGCTTAGGTTGTAAGCTGCCAACAGCTTTCATAGCAGCTTGTAGCCTCCTCCCAACACTCCTACCTGTTTCTGCACTTTTCCCCCTACATATACAGCAGCATCCCTCAAAAATTCAAAAACATTTTCCCTGCCATTTTTTTCACTCTCTCTCTCTCATCCTTCATAGAATCATAGAATCATAGAATCACCAAGTTTGAAAAGACCCAAAAGCTCATCCAGTCCAACCGTTCACCTATCCCCAATAGCTCCCACTAAACCACGTCCCTCAACACAACATCCAGCCTTTCCTTGAACACCCCCAGGCTCGGTGACTCCACCACCTCCCTGGGCATCCATTCCAGTGCCTGACCACCCTTTCTGAACAGTAATACTTCCTCATGTCCAGCCTGAATCTCCCCTGCCGTAGCTTGAAGCCATTCCCCCTGGTCCTATCACTGATGACAGAGAGAAGAGGCCGACCCCCAGCTCACTACAGCCTCCCTTCAGGAAGTTATAGAGAGCAGTGAGGTCTCCCCTGAGCCTCCTCTTCTCCAGGCTGAACATTCCCAGCTCCTTCAGCCTCTCCTCATATGGCCTGAGTTCCAGACCCCTCACCAGCTTTGTTGCCCTCCTTTGAACACGTTCCAGGTCCTTATTACAGTGACCACATTTTCACAGGAGATGAACTCAAAGCAGGCAAAAAGTGGCTGCTTGTTTTATTCAAAACATTTTGTCTATGATGAAAATGGCAAGGTTTGGTAGGAATCAATTCATCACATTTGGTTGCTGGAGATTGTGATACAGTAAATGGACAAAAACGTAAATTTGTCCAAAGCTAGGTGGCCTCTCTAGACAAGTGGATAGATTTCCTCAGGAAACAAGAGCAAGGCCGTAATTATTTCAGATCATCTTTGTTCTTCTCCATGTTACTGAGAATTCGGAATTCATATATACCAGTTTTGCTTTAAGCAAGAGTCAGAGTCATATCTCCTGTCGCCCTAAGCACCATTGCATTGCATTTAAACATCTGAGAGAGTAAATTGTCTCCTCTACGATAAAGAAGGCTGGATCTGTAATACAAAAGGTGCTAGATGATTGGGCTAAATTTCATCTATGGTATCCAATGGGGCTGGATGACATGCATCCCAGGGTACTAAAGGAACTGGCTGATGTGGCTGCTGAGCCACTCCATCATATTTGAAAAGTTGTGGATGTTGAGCAAAGTCCGCGGGGACTGGAACAAAGGAGATGAAATGTCACTCTCATTTACAAGAAAGGGAGGAAGGAGGAATCAAGGAACTACAGGCTGGTGAGGCTCACCTCTGTGCTTGGGAAAACAATAATTGCAGCTTTTCTACTGACATTTAGAAAATGAGGAGCTTCCAAAACTGAACATAAACAATTGAAGTTAAATAGCCAAGAGTTCTGGGAAGACATTGCTACAGCTGCGTATTTCCCATGGCTCACACCCCAAAAAAAGGTACTGGAATTCAGCACTGAGAAAAAAGCTAGAGTAAGCATTTTGCTCTGAACTTGTTAATCCCATCAGCATGGCCAAAAGTAAGTGGAAGTGGAGCCTGGACTGTTTTTGTGGTCTACCAGGATTAGACCCATGGGGAGATACC